AGAGAGAGAGAGAGAGAGAGAATCCTAGGCAGGCTCTGTGCTGTCAGTGAAGAGCCCAACTTGGGGCTTGATCTAACAAACCATGAGATCATGACCTGGGCTGAAATCAAGAGTAGGACACTTAACTGGCTAAGCCACCCAGGTGCCCCTTAAGAGGTTCGTAAACAAAGAAGTGTTTACTCATAAAAATCTTCCAGTTCTTGGCACATGTGGCATTTGGAAAGTATATTTTATATTTTAAGGGCCAAATGATCATCCTCTGTCGATGGCATTGGGGAGAGGAGCTTCCAGGCTTGGCACAGAGGATGGTGGCTTTCTTCCTCACCAGGAGCCCCTGCGGGAATGCAGCATGGTGGTAGGCATAGCTTAGAGTGGAGCCTGGGCAAAGATGGCTTGAGGCAGGTAGGAGGTGACTTTTTAAGCCTCTGCTTTTCTGACTGAAGACACATCTTCCTCTTGCCCTTGTAAAAAAGCAAGTTTTCATTTTCTTAGGGTAGTAAAAATCTTTTGTGTGAAGAAAAAGTGTCATCAAGTGCCTTATTCATCAGCATATATACCATCTCTTTAAAATGACAGTGGGAGTAAAAGTTCATCAGTTCAATATGTCTTTCACATTGGGAGACTCCTGACTAATAACCTCTGGTATTTATCATCAGAACAGCCAAAGAACTAAATTCTGGCACATGCTGCTCTCACACACTGAGAAAAACTTGAAAAGACAGAAGATTTTCTCCATTTTTTTCTTCTTTCATTCATTTAGAAGAAAAGCATACCTTTTTTTAATTAAAAAAAATGTGAGCATGCAGAAACATCTGGCCTCTATTACCATAGCAGCCTCCTAAATGGCCTCCTTGTCTCCAGTCTGCCCTTTTAAAATCAACTCTACCCAACAACCAGAGAGATCCTTCTAGAACACAGCACTGTGCCAGGCACTCTTCAGTGTGGCTGACATCTTCTTCGCTGACTCTTTCAAGACTCTTGGAGTTAATTACCATGTGTAGTCATAGCTTCTACCTCCCCTGCTTGTGCTCTGTCCCGGCCACACCAAGCTGTTCGTGGCTCCCCATTTCCTGCTATAATAAATGGTATCTCCAGGCCTGCATACAAATCAGCCCTTTCTCCCTAAGCTCCCCGCAAGACTCTGTAGAACCTGGCACCCAGCTGGGGTTCCCAGAGCACCTATCCAGCACTTACCACACTCCTACAGAATAAAGCCCACAGTCTTGGTTTTACTTGGTTAGCATGATACTCTAATTTAAAAAAATAAAATAAAAATCTTATTGGGTGGGGCATATTACTATTCAGTTTGCTTAAGGCCCACCACTCTCTATTATACACCAAACCTTAATTCCACATTTATTCTATGCTACTAGCTTTTAAAATTCTCTTTCACCCAAAAAGACTGCTGTGTCAAGATGGCGTGTTGTTACCTTTTGTATCTATTGGCCTGGCAAAGACTTTACAGTGAAATATCTGTTGGATTAATTTATGCTTTAAAAAAAACCTAAAATTAAGTCAGGAAGGGCTCACTAACTCATTTTTGGCCTCTCTGGTGGTTCACCAACATCCCCAAATTAATGGACCTCAATGGACCTGGCAGACATTAACAGTATTTCATTGGATGATTGAAAGTCTATGTTTACCATATGAACTCAGGTAAGGCTGAGCAACCCTGTATCTGTAAACTTCTGATGTGATTACACTCTTTCCCACTATTTCCTGTACCAGGAGATCCATATCTGTTCTTATGATTCCCCAGGAGTAATCATCCTTCCCTTTTGTCATAGTTTTGTCCATCAAGGCATACATTTCCTTGATTCCATTTCATATCTACGTGACTGCCATACTCCCATCAAACTGGGCTCTTCAGAAATTTGAATAGAATCGAATTAAATGTAATATTTCATCTGTTTTGTAAAGTCTAATCATGGACAAAGTTAACAATCAGTGTGCTTACCCAAATTTGGACCCTGCTAAGGAGTAGTGCACCCAGATCTTTCTAAGCTGGTGAAGCTAGAGATTATAGTTATGGAGATACCCATTGGCTAACCTCTGATGTATCATCTTTTTAATAATCCAGCCCTTTGTCTCAGTCACTGTATTTTCAATTTCATTAGTTATTCTCTTCTAGATGTTCGATTACATGCTGCTTTAAAGATACTAAAAAAGATCTGGTGTCTCAGAGAGCCCAGGTTACTCATATTTATGGAATTTCACATAATCAGTGACATAGGAACATGGTACCCACTTATGGCAATGTGCCATAAATTAAACCTTCAGAGAATGCCTGTATTTTCAGGGAGTACTGTGGATGTTGCAGAGGGACTCTGTAGTATACGGCATTGCTGAGGAAATGTGTTAGGAGCACAAGAATGGAAATGTGTCCAAGTATCAGGTTCAAGAAAAAAGAAAAAGAAAAAAAATAAAACCCTTTCGTCTAAGCTTCCTTCCCTAGGGAAGAAGCAGGGGCAGAATGGGGAGAGCTTATTACAGACTTTAGCAGCCAGAAATTTCATTGACAATTTTGTTAGCGTGACTGTGTGGCTGCCATGTCAGAGGCCTATTGTGAATTCCTTACTTGATATTATTAATAGTTAATGGGTGCACCTGAAAATCAAGCAATATTGTACCATTTTGGTAATAGATATATTAAATGGGACTTTTCTACAGCATCAAGCTTATCAAGCTTACCTTTTTCCTAATAATGAATACCTCATCTTTTCCACTTGCCTAATCAAATGCTTCCACCTCATCTTGAGGCAGAACCAGACCCAGCTGCATCTATTCTATACTCATGGATTCAATTATGTCAAATTATCCAACCTACTCACAGGTCCTTAGTTTCTCTTTTGCTCTGAGACATAGGCCTGATGCACCTCTTCAGAAGCTCATGATTATTAACCATTCAGCACAAGTCTGTTGTAAGTAAACAGAGAATCAGAGAGAGCACTAAGCTAAATTTACAGTTATGAGGAAACCTCTAGAAAAGGTTTCTTCCTAAATTTTAGTACTCTTGGGTTGGTCTCAAGTGTTTTTCTTTTCCCTATCCCTTCTCCCTGAAACACACGTGAGCCTTCTTCTACATGGCATTGCTTCAGAGTTGAGGATTTCTACTGCAGTGGCAAAGAGTAAAGACAGCCATATTTTGGCTACAAAATAGTAAACATTATTTTTTCATAGATATCATACTGTTTGTATTGACCAGAAGCATTAGGCTTCCCATACTTTACCATGCTTTATTTAATTCAATCATACCGATAGCTGAAAAAGGACAATACAAGAAACATGGGGAAACTTAATATTGTCTCTTTCCATTATATTTGGCTAAAAATTTACTTTTTCTTATGCCTCTGGTCTTATGCCTCCGTTCATCATTTTGGTGTCAAAGATTTTTATGGTCAGAATTCTTACCTTTATACTTGATGATTTGATCTGTCCCTATCTTCTTCATTTCCAGCTTCTTTTAATCTACTTTTTCTTCTGAGCTTTACAAAGACCACCTTCTTGCCACTAAAATAAAGAGAGGAGCCCAGACTCACTACTGAATATCCAAGATGACTCAGGCCATCCTTTGTTCTCCTACATGTTCAGGTGTCTTTTGATGCCTGAAGCCATGTCTTAAACCCCTTCAATCACTGTTACTCAGTTCAGTGTATAGAATAGACATGATACATGGTTTCTAAATGAATGAATGAATGAATGAATGAATGAGTGGTACCTGATTTTACAATTTATGGTTGTTTAACCTCTTTCATCCAAATTATATTCTAACTAGGTCTGTATCATTGTGAACTTCTGTTATATATTCGTAATACTAAGTTTAGTGCATTCCATGTGGCTATTGCTTTTGGAACCCTACCAAGGAGAAGCCAATATTTGGCATACAGTATTTCAAATTCATGTTCTAAATAATCAACCCAAGGAACTGATTTTCACCCTGAAGAGTAACCATTGATTTAACAGATTGGTTGTTATGATTGTGCTCCTTTGGACATCCTATGGTTGGAATGCCTTATAACATTACAGAATTGGAAAATCTTTGGAAAACCATCTGTGGTTCTTGAAATATCTAAATGGAAACCTTCCCCTTCAGAGAGTATTATCGATCCAGTTCAACAGATAGCCATTATTTCTACAAATATATTGAGCATCTTGGAGATAAATGTGAAACTGGCATTTCTTTAAACTTGCTTATAATTTGGTAGCCAAGTATAGAAACAAAGCAGAATACAGTATGATAAATTATGTAGTAGAAACACATACAAGGAACAGGGAAAAGGGGCTAATTAACTCCACATAAGGCATGAGAGAAGACTTCCTGAAAGACATGGCTCTGGGTTGGGATTCAGCCATCCCAGCAGTTTTTGCTTTTTGGATAACTATAATGAGTGAAAAATGCCCCTGATGTGCTTGATGTATTCATTTTTAAAGCAGCATCACAATGTAAGAAATAAGCCTTTAAAAATCAAAGACTTGAAGAGCATTTGACCCCTCAGTATGGCACCTTGATCCAGCTTTCTCTGTTTTGCGTGATATCTGGGAACACAGCTGAATCCAACTCCTACTATATTAATGGATTTATATATGCACACATAAGGCTAATATATTTTATGCTGCCAATTTTTTTATGGTTTCATAAATAGTGCTATCAGTAACATTTTGAAAAAGTGAAGAAAAGAGCTCATATGTGCTGGTAGAAATGCAGTGTATTTTATAGAACACAGCTACTCTTGATATAGCCTACGGGATGTGACTTTTCATAAAAACCTAATGAATTTCTAGATTTGTCAGCTGTTTCCAAACAGATGCACTGTGCTAATCTAATGGAAACATTTTGAGCCCAGATCCCAAATATCAATAGCTTTTAGTATTGCAAATGAGTTTGTCTATTTGGTAAATTGGGCTGTGTGGTTCTTGATAAAAAGTAGCGAGTGATTTTGTATGGATGTTTTATGTTTAACTGCCTTGCTGGGGTTTGATGCTCATATTTTTCCTTATAGAGTTTCAAGTTGAATGTAGACAGTCATTGTGCTCTCAAGGAAGCTGTGGAGGAAGAAGGACACCAACTTCTTGAGCTTATTGCATCTCACAAAGCAGGTAAATCCTCCTGAAATATTGCAAGCCTTTATGTCTCCAGACTATTAAGAATGAAGAAGCATTGCTGTAAATTACTGCATATATTCACTTCCTTATGTATTATTAATATTTACATTATCAGATTGACCTTCAAGATTTATAAATGTTTCATATACTGCATACAATGCTGTGATACTTATAAGATGAAATACTGCCTCCAAATGGTCTGTTCATTTTATTTTGGGCTTGCTGTTCGCCTGAGTTTCATTTGAAATCACATTCCTGAAAACTTCACATTGACATGCTTTGTGATGTAGGTGCTCTGGAAATAACATTAAGATAATGAATGAGAATGGTGCAAATAGTTAGGATGCATATGCATTAGGATACTTATAGATATCATTACAGATATAACGCAGACAGTCTAGATATATCTGATTATTTCCCTGCCAATTCACACACATGAACCTTTTACATGTTTTTTGCTAGTCATTGCATTAGCAGAGTTTTAGCCTTAAACCAACTCCTACCCAGGATTAATGTATTTATGAGGAACAGATTATAAATAAAAAATAGTTTTGTCATTTGGTTATACTTATCCTGGTAGTAAAAGACCATAAGACAGGATGAATTATAGTTTGGCTCTTGCTTTGAGCTTACCACAGCTAAATAAGGAAAGAGCAGCATTAATCCAACATGCTAATGCTAAAGACTGCTGCCTTAATTCTGACCCGTGTACTATACTCCTCGATGAATGAACGTTACCTATTTCTGTACATCTTTCTGACCACTATAAAGCATCCACACATGTACACACAGGGCCTTTTATTTGGAATGTGAAGCTTTAGTGTTGGTAATTTTCATACCTGGTGATTTTAGTTCCATATGCATCTTTTTAGTCCCTAGACTGAATTTAACTTGATTCCCAAACATGCATCTATGTGGTTAGACCATCTTCACATCCCTATGCCTTATGTGAAGGCAAAAAATCCCTTTCCCTTTCCTTAGTGACAAACACTTATATGGCAGGTGATGGGTAGTGGTCATTTAAAATTATGTTTACTCTTTGAAATATTCATCTAATTTTTCTAAATAAAAGCTAACAATGGGTAGAAATGCAGTCAAGACTGTAACTTGTGGTTTCCCCTCCTTTTGGAGAAGGACTGAAGGACATGCTGCGGATGATTGCGAGTCAGTGGAAGGAGCTGCAGAGGCAAATCAAACGACAACACAGCTGGATTCTCAGGGCTCTGGATACCATCAAAGCTGAGATTCTGGCTACTGATGTGTCTGTGGAGGATGAGGAAGGCACTGGAAGCCCCAAGGTAAGTGGCTTGAAGTTTGCCTTATTTCCTCTCATTTCTGCCTTCTTTTGAACTAGGCACCACTGAAGTTTTCTTTCCACCCCTAAGGCTTTTTGTTTCTACTGGGTAAACTTTATATATCCATATCTATTTCTATATCTATCTATATGGGGGGGGAGGTAAAGAAAGATAGAGAGAAATGAGAGAGATGAATACAATGAAATGGCTTAGTTTAAAACAATAAAAAAAAAAAGCCTGCAACTTTCAAGTTTTCCAGAAAGAGGTCTTTCTGTCAAAAGTGGCAGAGTAGGAGGGGGACAATACTTTAGGGGTAGGAGAAAGGGGGATATAAAACATTTAGTAAACAAAACATAAAGCATCTTTAACATGAATAATCAGAATGGTTTTAAATTGTTTTGTTGCAACTATAAATCACTATAATCAGTGCAATCACTCAGCTCTGACATCCATTAGCCGCTTGGTTACAGCAAATTAACAAAGAAGAGAGAAAGTGATTCATTATCTCATTCCTGTTAATGACTATCAGATGCATTGCCTAATTAGGGGATGGTCATTGTAGTGGGAAGAAGGTCATATGCTTCGCTACAAATCTTTTTGCTCTGAGTGTAAGTTCTCCATAATGGTGCATGCACCGAATACAACAAGTACTTTAAAAATGAGTATTGACATGTTTTGGTTATCTATTTTAGATTTACAAAATAACCCATAAAGCATATGCAAGTCAACTTTAAACGAAGCACCTTTTCATACAATGCACTGCTCTGTTAAAGGTATCTTTGGACTCATAATGTGGAAAATAATTTTATTAGTTTGATATTTTCATGTAATCTCTCTCTCTCTTTTGTGTTTATTCTTTTGTGAAAGTAAGTGCAGAAAACCAGTCTTATAATAGACTCAGCATCGAAACATATTGCACTGTGGGGGTGGGGAGGAAACAGATTTAAGAGTTCATGGTTTCTATTCCTGGCATGGATAAAGTAATTAAATCATCATCGAGTTACATTTATTCAGTGTCCATGTGGATTGGCCTTGTGCTAAATGTATACAGAGCAAGTTAAACAAACCCTCTGCCTTCTTAGACTCACATTCTTAAGCGCAGCCAGAGGAAAAACCCACCCTGTCCTGTCCTGGTAAGACCATGCAGCCAGTGAAAGGCTCAGAAGATTTATGGCTTTGGAACCTCAAGCAACAACCTTTAACTTATTTGTTGGAAAGAGAGAATGGAATGATGAGCTCAGTTCCACTTAGAGGAGGCTCCTTGGAGGAGGGTCACATTTCAGGAAATACTTGAAGGAAGAAAGAGCAGTGGCTTGGCACAGGAGCGCACATTTTAGGAAGTGACGTGGCGAAAGGATCAGAGCTGGAACTAATAACATGGAAGGGACAATGCCTTCAGCAGATTTCTTGGGGCAGAAGGAGGGCTCTTTCAAGGAACAGACTGCAGGGACAAGTTGATGGGGCTAATGCTTTGGCTCGGGTGGGGACGGTGATGATGAGAAAAGACCCAACTAAAAAGTCTGTTGTGTTTATTTATTTAACAAAGTACATTGATTGCTTACTTTTAAACAGCTCTCCTGTACTGGGTGCGTTCTACAGATCAGACACTGTTCTACAGTGCTTCTGCAGTGGTAACCATAGGATCCCCAGTGGAGAGAATGGAGGCACACAGGTGCTAAGTAGCAGAACTCATTTTTGAATCTGACCCCTTTGGCCCCAGAGCCCTTGTCGATCTCCACCTAGAGTCCCGCCCCTCACGGGGACTGCTCAGGGCCAGGTTTCATGATAAATCATTAATCTCAGTGCCAGTCTCATGGAGCTCATGGTAAGGTAGGGAGACAGATCTAAATTTAACAGTCATGTGTTTGTAGATGGTGGTGTGCAGTGAAAGAAAAGAGAAGGGAGCATCTGAAGGTTGGGCTGGGAGGAGTGATTTAGATCAGGGCATCAGGGAGGGCTTCTCTGAGGAAGCAACATTGTATGAACAGGCCAATGCAGTTGGAGAGAGGGAGGAGGTTTGAGGGAAGTTACATGGCCTGTGGTCATATGGGAGGGTTTTGGAGAGAGCAGGAAAATGGCATCATTGATTTGTAGCATAAAAAGCTGTTTCTGGGTGTGGCGTGAGGCATGATAGGTGAAGGGGGGTCAGAGGGAATCAGGGAGGGAGGGGAGATGACAAAGAGGAACTGTGGAGAATTAATTAATTAAATAAATAAATTTAAATGAATTGGGCACCTGGTTGGCTCAGTCAGTTAAGCATCTGACTTGGTTCATGAGTTCAAGCCCCATACTGGGCTCTGTACTGACAGCTCAGAGCCTGAAGCCTGCTTTGGATTCTGTGTCTCCCTTGCTCTCTGTCCTCCCCCCAACTCACACTCTGCCTCTCTGTCTCTCTCTCTCTCTCTTTCTCAAAAATCATTAAAACATTAAAAAATGAATATATAATTTAAATGAATAAATAAGTAAATTAATTGATTAATAAAAGACTGAAGCCAGAAATGAGTAGCTCTGTTCACCAGGGCCGATTTGAATTCCATACATTTGAATCAGCTCATTTTGTAGGAAGGTATATTGTAGGAAGGAATCAGCTCATTTTGTAGGAAGGTGGAATAAAGAAGATAACCCAATGAGGAGATAGTATTATCAAAGGAGAGGCAATGTCTGCATTTCTCAAAAAGAGGAGTCCCTGCTCAGGCCCAGCCTTCGAAACATCAGAACCTTCTGGCTGGGGCCCCAGAATCTGCATTCCATAAGGTCCCAGAGAACCCTGTCACATAGGCTCCAGGAAGGCCTTTTTCCTGCAGGGCTCCCCGGTTTGTACATAGCCAGGATCCTCACACAACGTGAAAGAAAGAATGTCTGTCACATTGTTGCTAATATCTAAAACAAGGACTGTTTAGTTAAGTTATGCTACATCTCATCTTGATACACGTTATCTAGCCATTTAAAACAATCTTTTAGAAGAGAATTTTTTAACATTGGGAAAAGCCCTATATTGTGCAATATGATATATGCATAAATAAAATATGATATATGTTTAAATATTTTTGAATTTTCCCAATCTCTACAGTGAGTAAAAGTTATTTTAATCAGAAAAATAAAGAACATATGGAAAATACAAGAATTAGAAAGAGATTTAAAAGGCAAAATAGATGACAATCTATTGGGGACTTGAGACATGAATTCCAAGGTCAGGAGGGAACATAAATACATCTGATTCTTAATGATTTGGGAGCCTCAGTTTTAAAGAAACAACAAAACCTCTCTGTTTGGATCATCCTCAAAGTGAAAGTATCTTCCTTGACTCACATCAGTTTACAAAGAATAACATAAGTGTTTTTCATGAATAATATCTCTATTCCTAGCACTCTGTGTCCCACTGTGTGCACCCTGTCATACATCTAAGAGCAACTCCCGGAAAGGCACGTGTTGGGATTGGCACACATAGGACCTGAAGGAGATGCTGGGAGTCTGACTCTGATGTGGCAGGGCCACCAAAACCCCAGGCCTCCCTTCCCCCAGTCCTCCTCTTTCTTCCCCAGTCCAGGCTGAATTTTCTTTGGACAGATGAAGTCCTCCACAGCCAAGGGTGAAGGTGAAATCAGTTGAAGATAAAGAAAATGTATTTCTAACTTAAGCTTAGGAAACTATGGAGAAATCAGGATGATTATTCTTTTTATTTGTTTAATAGTCATGAACTGCCTTTGTTGGGCAAACACAATGAATAATAAGGAAGACTCAGACCCTAAAGTCGGTGGCCTGAGTTCAACTCTCGGCACTTACTAGCTATGTGTCCTTGGAAAAATTACTTAACTTCTCTGTGTCTCAGGTTCCTTCTTTGTAAAATGGAGGCAATGATATTACGTGCCACAAAAGGGTTTGAGACAGATTAAAGAGTTGACATATCTAAAGTGCTTTTTAAAAAATGTTTATTTATTTTGAGAGAGAAAGCATGAGCAGGGGAGGGGCAAAGAGAGAGGTAGGGAGAGAATCCCAAGCAGGCTCTATGCTGCTAACAAGAGCCCAATGTGGGGCTCAATTTCATGAACTGAGAGGTCATGACCTGAGCCCAAATCAAAAGTTGGAGGCTTAACCAACTGAACCACCCAGGCACCCCTAAAGTGCTTTGAACAGTGCCTGGCACATGACAAATCCTAAATCGGGGTAAATGTATAAGCTTTCATTTCTGGTGTCGGAGACAGTAACAAATAGAACAGAATCTGATAAATACTCTACTAAAGATAGGTACACAGCCCTATGAGTACACAGAGAAGGAAATAACCCTATTTGAGGGTATCAAAGGAAAGATTTACAGGGGAGTTGATGTTTTAAATGAAGGGTGAAAAGGATTTTTGCCAGCATGGAAATAATGAGAAGGAAAGATTTATAGGGGGGTTGATGTTTTAAATGAAGGGTAGAAAGGATTTTTGTTAGCGTGAAACATGTGCAGAGACCTAGAGGTGTAAAAATGTGTGGCATGGCTGGAAGATGGCATCTCACTGTGGATGGGAATTAGGCAGGCTTGCTACAGTCTCCACCAAGGCTCACATTATGACAAAAAATAACCCTTAAAAAACCCTTATGACCAGTGATTTGAGCAATAATTCTTCATGTCTGAAATTGACACTGTCCAAACCAGAGTGAGAACCCTATACAGGATATATCTCATATATACTCTTTAAAAAGAAAATTTTCTTGCCATATTGCCCTAAATAGAGCAAACTTAAATAGGTTACCGTGAAGTTGTCCGAGACTAACAGCACGGATTCAACTCGTTATCTATCATGTCAGTTCTCCTTCCATGACGTGACCTTGCATAGGTCATGTACGAATTGTGCCATGAAATGCATCTCCAAGCATAGCAGTTATGATAATCTATTTCATCTTAGACCTAAAAGAGAAACTAAAATTAAAACATAATAAAAACTAACTCCAGAATTCATCTAAAGTTTACTTCAGAAGCTACTGGGAACTTGAGAAGCATGATAGAAAATCTAAAGAAT